GAAAACAACCATGTTTTTTTATTTTTTCCTTTTTTACTAATTAAAAATCCACAGTGTTTGATTTTTGCTTCATTTGCTATTTGATTTTTGCTATCTAAATCTAAAACAAAATATACAGTTGTTTTAATATGTAGCAATACCGAAACCACATTGCTAAAGAAAAAAGCGTTTATAGTGGCTGGAAGACTAAAACCATTCCTACAGATATTGGCAGAGACTGCATTTAAACCCACTTAAAGTAATTTTTTTCWCTGTAAAATAGCTCATAAAGAGATGTGTCGACTCACTCTAAATAAGCCGAAYATACAGTATATGTTTTATTTTGAARCAGAAAAACCAAAGTATGAACCATACACAGATTTAACTAAAACACTGACTGAGTTTCAGGCATTTTTGTGTTTTCTAAGGTCGTTTATACCAAACGTTGTAGTATCAGCTCAGATAATCCAGCGGTTCAGATACTAACAATCCTTGCTTTGTGATTTTAAAGACATTTGCAGAGATCAGACATGGAACATGATGAAGATGGAAATGGATGAGTAAAAGTCAGAAAAGAAACAAATGACACGTGACTCTGGGACATATAGCTGAAGTTAAAGTGATCCCCCATGGGGCAGGTCTGAACCTGGACCAAACCACAACTGTCAGCACATCAAAACATTCCTTCATGTTTAGTCTCATTTTCATCCTTTAATCTTAACTCTGATGCTCCTGTGTATGTGTGAAAACACTACATCTGAAGGAATCCTTTCAGGCTGGCACAGACGATAAAACATCAAACACAGAGTTTGTCCAGGTTTGTTGCTGAGAATTTCACAGCTCCTATAGAAGTCTGTTAAAGCAAAACCTCTACCATTCTCTGGATCTTTAACCCACAGACCTACAGTATCACGTCAAGACTCTGTCTTTGTATTTCATGAAGAAACGCTGGGTTAAAACAGAGACACTCACGATGGCAGATGTTTGGGTCTCTGATGTCTCTCTCTGGATGTTGATAGTAAAATGGTTTGCACTGCTCACAGTTGTGTCCTGCTGTGTTATGTCGACAGTCTTCACAAACTCCTCCGCTGACGTTTCCTGATGCCAAGAACACGGCCATGTCGAAGTGGCACGAGTTCGAGTGCTGATTACAGTTACACCCTGAAAAACCACAGAAGAAGAAGGAAGACAGATTCAGGTAAATGCAGCTGACTGTTTGTCTGTAACAACAGATTCAGACAGATCATTAYCATTCATTAGTTATATTTTCTAATAGGAACTTAGTTTATCTCCACGCATCAAGTACAGTACAATACCGAGTACCAAGGAAATTTCACGACTGGATTTGTTGCACAGGTGGCATCCTWTCACAGTTCAYGCTGGAATTCACTGAGCTCCTGAGAGTGACCCTTTCTTTTACAAATGTTTGTAAAAACAGTCTGAATGCCTCGGTGTTTACGATAATTTTATACACCTGTGGCCATGGAAAAGATTGGAACACCTGATTCCGATAATTTRGATGTGTGKGCAAATACTTTTGGCAATATAGTGTATGTGACAATGTGATTTCTGGTCATATGTCTTTTGTGTCTGATGATTTTTTTCATGCTGATGTTAAATATTACATAACATCTTGGAGGTTTTCCAGTCTGGTTTTAAAACAAGGCACAGAATCTGCTCTAGTAAGAGTTTTTAATGACAATCTTATGGCTAATGATTCTGGTGAATGTGATTCTTGTCCTGCTCAACCTAACCACTGCTTTTGATGCAGTGGATCACAATATTTTGATTTTATGTCTAGAGCACCAAGTAGGTATCTGTGGTACAGCGCTAAACTGGTTTATATCATATTTGTCTGACAGAACCATGTGCGTTATTATCGCTGGTTCTGATTCCTCCACTGCACCTTTGTCTTTCGGGGTTCCACAGGGTTTAATCTTAGGCCCCCTGCTTTTTTCTCTTTACCTGCTTCCTTTGGGTTCTTTACTCAGGAAGCATGGGATCTTCTTTCATTGTTATGCTGACGATAGTCAGATATATAGGCCACTGACAAAGAAAGATGCCCTTTCAATTAGGCCACTTCTGTTGTGTCTTGAAGACATCAAAGCCTGCATGTCTTCAAACTTTTCAAATTTTAATGGGAGAAAAACAGAAGAGGTTGTGTTTGGTTCCAGTGGCTCCTATGAACCTTCCCCTGTTGATCTGGGTCCCCTGGCACTGCATGTAAAGCTCGTAATTTGGTTTTTAAAATGGACAGTGATTTTAAATGAGATTGGAGCAGTAGTTAAGTAGTTAAGGACCGTTTTTATCATCTCATGCAGCTGGCAAAGGTAAAATCGTTTATTTTAAGGTTATTTTATTTGTTTTGAATAGTCTGAATGGTCTTGCCCCACCCTTCTTGTCTGAGCTGATTCACCCACACTCTCCTGCTCGGCGCCTCGGGTCAACTGATCAGCTGCTCCTGGAGGTGCCGAGGTCCAAATGTAAGCTGAGAGGAGACAGAGCGTTTTGTTTTGCTGCTCCGAGATTATGGAACAATCTCTCACTTCCTGTCAGACAAGCCCGTTCACTGTCTACTTTTAAAACTCCTCTAAAAACACATTTCTACTCCCTGGCTTTTGGCACAGCCTGAGATTTGTTTTTAGTTTTTGTTTCATTCCTATTTTATTGTTTCTAATTGTTTTTTAATTTTTGTTTTCCGTTTTTCAGGTTTTGATTTTACATGTACAGCACTTTGTTGCTGCTGTGGTTGTTTTAAAGTGCTTAAAGCAATAGTAGTATTAGTTTAGACCCTGTAGCCAAGTGCTGACCCCTCTGCGAACTAGTTTAGACAGATAGACACCTGTGTGAACCCATATGGTTGTTTTGGTGAACAGGTTTAGAGCCTGTGTGGACTAGAGCAGTGTTCCTCAAAGTTGGGGTCGGGACCCAAAGTGGGGTCCCGAAACATCAAGGTGRGGTCCTGAAAAGATTTTCTGAATTACATTTTTGCCTTAGTTGTTACAAATGAGTGAGGTTAGTGTATTTAAAATGGATAAATATAGTATAAAAATATTGTTACTATGCCCATGTTTAATTGACCTGATACAAATGTTTATCATCCAAAAACAGTTGTGGGCTCAGGTCTCTGCTACTGTTATTTTGTGGGTCAAAAGCTGAAAGGTTTGGGAACCACTGCACTTTGGTTCCCAAAGTTGGGCTTGGGACCCAATTATGGGTCATGAAGCACCTTGGATAATCTCCAGAAATCAATTTAAAGGGTAATAAAATAATTGCTGATATAATATTTTCCCTATAAATATTACAAAACCACAAAATAAGTATAAATAAGTATTTATATTTGTGTATAAGCTGTTTAGATTGTCAAAAAGCCTGTGTTTTTAGGGTTATTAACAAAGTTCAGGTACTCAAGCCATTAATATTTGGGGTCACACGTTTTTGCCATGAATATTTTGTGGGTCAGAAGATAAAAAGTTTGGGAACCACTGGACTAGAGYATAGACGTTTAGACCTATTTTGGATCCAGGAAAAGCAATATTAGGTAGGGTTGTCTTACTCTTGCAAGCGTTTGTGTTCCGTCCCTCAGCCGGTCTCCATGGGAGATCGTGGTAGAAATCCTGACACTGTTCACAGTTCAGTCCTTTAGTGTTGTGATTACACATACAGTGACCATGTACCTGCAACACAGATCACTGGTCAAACACTCATTAGTCCTCACATATAATAAATAATATGTAATAATGTATTTCTTTTTAACTCTGTGTTGATGGAAACGGTTCAAAATTTAGCTCAGTTAATTTTGACTAGCATCATTTTTTTTTTAGGTGTGAACCATTTACCAAAATAATATCTCCTCAGAACTCACCATTCCCTCCCTGTTTTGGCCCCGGCCCTCAACTGGGGCACATTCAGAGGCATGTCCATAGCAGAAACAGTTTCCTCGGACCACCATGTCATAGATGGCATAGTAGTACTTCTCTTTAATCTCCATTCGAGAGTCCAGCAAGTTGTCTCCGAGTGTGTGAAGTTTGGTGAATTTCACCCTCAGGTTGGTGATCTTTAATAAATCTGTAGCAAAAGGTCAACAACAGGCAAATCAGTCATCAATATTTCATGTCTAACTGAAACTGAGGTCACATGAGCTAATTTAATGAGACGTACTCTGGATTTGTGGGCTGTAGGGGTCTTCAATTCTAAACGCCGGATCCAAAACTCTGTAAATTACCTTAAAGACAGAATATTTTATTAATATACTGTTCCGTTATGAGCAGAAAACATTCCAGCTGCTTGAGCAGAGAGGAAATGCTTGAAGCAGCAGTGGTACCTCCCCCTCAGTGGATGGCTCAATGTCGGAGTAACGGGAGTCACAGATTACATCATCGACCTTCTGCATGGGACCTTGAGAAACTGATGGGAAGGAGGACTCACAGTCGTAGGCAAAATAACGGTAAACCTGCCACGTTTTTCCAAAGTTTGCAGATCGCTCAATGACCATGGCAGCCGGTCGAAACGTCTGAAGGAAGAAAAGGACGTTTGAAAGAAGATTATATGACAACTCCACTTATACTGTACTTGTAATGATGATGTTAATAAAAGTAAGGCTTACAAGTAAACAAAATACATTTAAAGGCAAAATATATGAAATGACATTTTTTAATTTCTAACCATAAAATAACAGTTCAACAAGAAAATCAAAAACTGAATCCATCAGCAAATTTATTCAAAATATTGAACTGTGTTAAAAACTTTTAGACTGATTTAAATTAAGCTTTGTTTAAATGACTTTAGTAAATCATGTTACTGCCTTTGATTTTTGCTTGTTAGCAAAATATCTAATGAATGAGAGGACAGATTAAAAAGAAAACTCTCAGGAAGGGATGTACTAAAACTAAATAAACTCACTTTCTGGGTGTTAAAAATTTTCCACTAAAATTTTATTTTTATTTAGCTCGCTGTTCTTACATTTTGCTAACTTTTACTAAATGTTACATTTATACGTTAAATAATACATGTAAATTTTAAATCCTAAGTATAAATGTGTAAATCTAAAAGTAAAATTTAAACAGTGGAGTTTACATTTAAGATTTTTGGAATGCAGACTTTGCTGTTGGTGCGCGGCTCGTGTTGTGATGTCATCATTCTGAGACAATAGCAATTGCTAACACTGCTAACGCTCAAACGCAGCTAAAGCATCCCTACAAGTCATCAAACTTACAGTTGTGAGCTGCGATTCAAACTGTCAGACCAAAGGTACCATCCATATTGTTTTATGAACCCATTGTGAATTTAGATTTTAAATACTATATTCAGCACTGTTAGCAGTGTAAACTGAGGTTAGCTTTTCCTAATGATGTCATCTCCTGCAACAAACGTCAATGCTAGTCGTTGCTGACGCTTCTAACGAACTATAAATATACAGACAGGGTTAACTACAAAACTATGAATGAATGAATGAATGAATGAAAATATCTTTATCTCAAAACAGATAAAACAAACAAACAAAAATCTGTATATATCTATATACACATACATGAGTATTGTATTAGGCAGCCTACAAGACCATCTGTATTGAACTAAATGACAAAGWTGTTCCACAATGTGAGGAGCTTGAAGTATGACTTGTGAATGACTCTAAGCTACTACCACACCATATTTTAGCTYWATATCTGTAAAATTAGAGCCTTTTGTGTGTTGGTKAAAGTTGATTAGCTGTGGTGGCCATCTGGAATTGGAGTGACTCAAACATTTGTAGATGTCTATCAGTTGATTAASGAACACAATCACAGGCAGATCACTCATGTGTCTTTGGGAGTGAGTGATATGAAGGAAATGGATCAAAACTGAAAGTTAACCCTTTGAAGACCTTAGAAACTGAACCTATAYAAAGTTCTTATCAGAAATGTCTCACAGCTAGGTTCTTAGACCCAGAAGGGCTAAAAGGAGTGAAACACATAACATATTAGATTTAATTTAAAAAAAAAGAATATTAGATTTTCGTGAATCCAATGTGTGTCTGTGAAGAACTCACCTTAAAGGTCATAATGAGATGTGTGAAATGAAACTCCGCCTCGAGGTTCAGCTGGATGGTGACGTTCTCTACACCTGTACACAGCAAAACCACGTTAGACCTAAAACCATGGTCAATGTGTTGAACGTCTGTAGGTCACAACAACTCTGGCTTCCAACTCACTAAAGACATCTCTGTGTTCTTGTCTCCTAACATCCAGTTTGGATCAGAGGTCTCCCTGATTCTGGTTCTGTTGAAATTCTTTCCCATTAAACAGTCTTTTATCACCACTGCGACCAAGTGAATTTGTGAAATTGTTGCTGATGTAAAGTTTTCTTTTATAGCTTCTTCTGATTTGACTTTGTGCAGCGTATGTAAAGCTGAGCCATTATCCTGAGAAATACCAGAGGCTGTATTTTAAATGGCTGTAGTGAGACAGAGCTATACTCCCACAGTGTTGGAGGTAGTGTGGTCCCCTTTTATCTGCATACAGATAGTCTGAACACAATCCATCCTGAGCCAAGATSACCAGCTAAAGTGATATGGGCCTGCACAAGATTATTATCTCAATGTCCCRAGGTAAAACAAATCATCTCTGGTGTTGGCTCATTAAAGATTACTCAACAGCAGTACTTAGAAATAAAAAAAGGTTTTAATGAACTGTAACAATGTAAATAAGTTTTGGAAGGATTCTATTCATCAGAGAGGATCACATGATGCCACATAACWTTATCTAGGTGTGTTTCTCTTTGGTTTAATGCTTGTCCTGATTGGTTTTGGACCCACTGTGGTCATTGTAAGCTGTGATGTGCTGTGACAATAAGATGGTAACAACCTGAGCAGAGTTGTGTCTCATTATTACGATGGATTTTTAGTGCACACTTAGTATTTTTAACCTACCAGTATTTTAACTTTATTGCAGCTTTTCTCTCATTAAAACGTTTTGTCTCCTAATATTATGGTATTCTCCTAATATTACATCTATATTCTCATAATGTTATGACTTTATTCTCATTATACTTTATTCGTGTATTATTATGACTTTACTCTTGTAATATTACAACTTTATTTGCATAATATGACTTTAGTCCTACAAATTAAAATGTACATTATGTTAATCTGACCCTAGTACATTATATTCACCTGAATTTTACAGATTAAAATCTTTAGTCTTCAGACACCTTACTTAGCCAACAGTTAGACATGTCTGTGTGTATACCTCCGTACAGTGATATCTGATCCTAAAATATTTTGTGGCATGCAATTATAAAGTTATGTTAAGTCACCCAAAACAAATTTGTCACAACAAATCTACAGAGCCCTAAAATCCCAAAGGCAATAACTGACCCTGATAACATGCCAGCCACTAAAGGCTGAGAACGTCTGGTCCATCATTATTGTTACCTTGTCAGAGTCAATAAAAAGAAAATTACTGCTGAACATTCACTACTGAGTTTTACAGCTTCCTCTCAAACACACAGCAGAAACCTCTAATKACCAGGTTTGTTTGATTATAGGAGCAACTTTTCCTCCTCAGGCTAAAGGAGCCCTCAGCCRTTAGCTTGATGTTTGTGAAAATGCCCCCAAGTGGCATCACTGTGATATGACAGGTAGACCTTTGGAGCTGAAACTACAAAAGTAAAACCAGAGAACGTTCCCGCCCCTGACAGCCRTGAGTTTAACCTGTCTCTTCTCACCATTCTCTGACTGCCACCAGGTCTTCAGTCTGTTCGGAGCGAATGTGGTCACCACGTTCTCGACACGATGGCTGTTGGTGTGACTGCTGAGCTCGTCGTAAACCACCCCCGAGTCACAAACAAAGCACTTCTTCTCCTCCTGATTAAAGTGGGGGGTGGGGGTGAGGAGGGAAAAGGGTTAACAGAGAGTTAAATTCTTTGGATTCCTGCAGTTGGTCAGAAGAGATAAAACTCGGCAATCACATACCTGACATCAACTTTTAAAAGCACCAGTTTCTACTGAGCAGCTACTTCTGATTTTAAAAAAGGTTAAAACGTTAGTAAAATGTATCAAAACTATTTATAGTCTTGTCTCTACCTTTTTTTTGATGTGTTGGTACAATTTAAAAAAATGACATTTGGCAAGTTACTGTATCCCACTGTGAAGAACATGTAGGTTTATAAGATTTAAATTTTAAATTTAAAGTTTGATATTTGACACAAAGCTCCAACATCTCAGAATTGAGATTGTACTTGTTTCCTGTTTATTCAGACTTCTTTGACCTCCAGCTTCTTTCTTCAATCCTCTGCTGCAACAAATGGTTTTCAGTTAAAGGGTCCAGTTTACTTAATCCAAAGCTGAGTCGATGTGTGGTCATGTGTTTCTCGACATTCGTTTTGGCACCACCTTTAACAGTCCATGAAACACACGGCACCAAACTCCTGGGACACCCCTCTTGCTGCTGCACACATCAAAATGCAAGATACTTCCCACTTAGAAACTCTAATCCAACATCCACTGCTTGACCACAAGGAGAGAGCGCCACACATTTCAGGAGATAATGTCCGTTCTACAGCATCTCCATCCTGGAGTTTCTGGTCATTTGRCTGTCTTTGTAAGTGTCTGGAAGAGATGGACATCCTCAAACAACTGCTCCTCAAATCTATGCATGTTGTTTGGATGCACAACAGTCGGCTAATGAAAGCAAAATAGTTGAAGAAAAATGACACCATCGTTATCTGTGCACTTTTCTACCTTACCAAGCACACCCATAAACTTCAGACCAATCACATAATGCTTGGCACACTCGCCTGTGAGAAAAAGTTTGGCTTGAAGCTTGTGACAACAAAGGGGTGGGCATAGAGATGGGACGAACGGCTGTTTGGGGGATTCAGATTTTAATGATTTGTTCATAGAGCCATTTGATTCTTATTTACTTTTATAGTAACCTTTCTGATTCTTCTGCGTTTCCATTGCAAATGTGCGCAAAACTTTGTCGATACTCTGTTAATGTCGAAAAACAGTTTCACAACCGTGGTGTTTCCATTAAATAAGAAATGCTATTAAAGTAACGCGAATATGTTTGTTCTCGCGATAAGTCATTACAAACATGGCGGCAATGGATGTAAACACATAGCATATTTCTACTGTGACACTAGTGCTCATCATCAGAGGAGACGTTGGCGTCTTTTATCGAGGCTTTCCAGCGACAAGTCCCTACTTGAGAGCGGCTACGTATGCTGTGTTTTTGGTAAATTGTAGTCGGTGAGTTTACTATTTTATACTACTTCTGTGACATTACTACTACTTCTACTTCCTGTTGTCTTCTTCGTCGTCATCATCTTTTTCGCCAGTAGAAACAGCCGATTGTTGATCACGTGACTCCAGTGATGCGAAAAAAGTGTTTCCATTGCAGTTTTGCAAAAAACACCAATTTCGATACGGCCGAAAAACCACCTCATCCAAGAGCAAAAACATTTTGTCGAAAAACGTCATTTTCTTAAAATTAACGTGTTTCCATTGAGAAAATTTATTTTCGAAATTCTAATTTGCGMATTTTCATGGTCAATGGAAACGCAGCTGAGTCGTTGCGCTGTCCAATTTTGATCGAGTTACAATACGTCATCACGTCACGTGGGTGGTACCATGTGTTGTGTAAAGCGGAAACCCCCTCCCCCTGAGCTGCAGTATTCAACCCCTCTGCCTGTTTTCTGTGAAACAGTGAAGGAGGAATGATTGCCACTGTGGTTAAGGACGAAAAAGAAAGATATTATGAGGAGTAAAAATACACTACGAACGACTCTTTCCTGTCTGCAGCTCGGTTCTTATTGCTCATTGTAAAGAGACATTCAAAGGATTTGGATCATTTGCAAACGTCGCATTTCTAGGCAGGCGAAGCAGCTCTGCGACAAAATTATGCAATTTTTGTTAACCGCAACAATGACCAAATTTGCAGTTTCGGATGAAGTATGTACGGGCCTCGAGCCATCTGCACGGTCCATCAAAAATGGAAAAATCCACTCTAGTTGCATTGCATTAGCCTGGTTTAAACCAGACTCTGTCTTTCACTTTGCTTCGTACAAGGGTCTGGACTTGCTGAATAGAGAAGCGTTTCTTGCAAGAGGCGTGGCCTCTGCTGAAGTTTAAAATGATAGGATCAGCTGGCTGCGACGTACAATATATGACTCTTCCAGACACTTATGGATAGAGAGAGCACAAACATTGTGAAATCCGACTGCCAAAAGTGTGGTGACAAATTTGTGGCCAAAGCAGTGGTGGATATCGGAGTGCAGACTCCAGCAGGAAGGAATCTGTGCTGTGATGTTGCACAGCAGCAGGAGGGGTTTCCCAGAAGCTCTGCTCCATCTCTTTCATGAGCTATGAAAGGTGTGTGTGAAATCAAACTTTGAGCAACCACATGACCGCACATCGACTGTTCGGCATTGGATGGCGCATGTTGGGTCCTTAAATTTCTGCTCTGACGGATGACAACTGCCTGAYCTTTGACCCATACCGTTGTCTGTGTTTTGTCTACTGTAACATCTGGATAAACATCTGTAGGCAGTCTGAGCTCAGAGAGTCCTTATGTGGGAATACTGTTACACAGGAAACACCACAGACTGCAACTAAACATTTAGAGAGAGGAGGAGAAGAATCTGATCCAGGAAACCTTCCTAAGACTGTTGAACTTTTAAACCCATCAGAAAAACAGCTCATTCTTTGTTTGTTTGTTTACACTCTGAGACTGGTGGTTTAATATGATCTGTTACAGAGTGAAAAGTTTTCTATGATCCATAAAACAGCAGCTCAATATTTCCTTTGTTCTCAAAAACCTGCCAGGAAATGAAGATAAACCTGAATCGTTTGTCAGTTTGCTGAGACCAAACGAGTTGCATCCCATTTTTATTTCAAGTGGGAGGTTTGTAGAAATAAAGTTCTTCGGTTTATTTACTGAGCACAGAAAATCTCATCAAACACATTTCAAAGTAATAAATCCAAAACATTTAGACCAAAGAACAGGATGCAAACAAAGAAAACATTTTTTTTATAAACCGTCCAAACTCAACCATCTGGTTTACATTTCCTGTATTAGCATTAAAAAAAATGTTATCTGTTTACTTCAGGCACATTCTTAGGGTCCAACACCCAGCATTTCTTCGTATTACAGATAAATACAATKAAGACAAAACTAATAAATACCTAAAGTAGGTTCTGTGGCAAACGCTGACAAGTAACACAAACTGGTTTTCAAGACATAGTTTGTGACACAATTTCAAACTGTTTCAGTTTCAGCTTTGGAAGCAGCTCCTTCAYGTCCATATATGGGGTGTGATGTCACGCTAGGGTGGGTTCATGAGAGACCTCCTACATTTCTATTGCACAGGGCTGGAAGCAGCTGGAAAGAAAACTTGTTTTCACCCCCGCCGAACAAAGAAGAACACCCCCCACCCCATACGACTGAGGTTTGAAGTTATTTATCAAGTTTTAAAAAATCTACAGGAAGTTGAAAGAACTTTGGTGGACATAAAGACACATGAGATTGGGAGTGAGTGATGAGATTTGAGAGATTTAGCATGTTTGAATTGTATAGTTAGGTTTTATTTAGTGTTTAGTCAGTTTTAATATCTGAGTCAAAAGAAAATTGCATTTTTTAAAGGGATCTCCGATTAGTTGTAACATTAGACTTTATTTGATAAACATTTATTTTTACTGTAAAAT